GTAGTGGGCACCTGTAGTCCCAGCTACTTGGGAGGCGGAGGCAAGAGAATCGCTTAAGCCCAGGAGTTGGAGGTTGCTGTGAGCTGTGATGCTGTGGCACTCTACCAGGGCGACAGCTTGAGGCTCTGTCTCAAAAAAAAAAAGGGGGTTGATGATCTGGTCAGCGGCTCTCACCTACAATCCCAGCACTTTTGGAGGTTGAGGCAGGAGGATTGCATGAACCTAGGAGTTCAAGGCTGGCCTGGGGAACACAGAGAAACCCAATTTCTACTAAAAAAGGGAGGGGGTTGGAGTAGGTGATGATGAGAAAATGATTTTGCTAGTCCTTTTGCTCTGGAATTGTACAATATAAAGATTGTCCTGGCTGGGCTCGTGGGCTCATGCCTACAATCCAATCCCAGCACTTTGATAGGGCCAGGAAGGGAGATGGCTTGAGGCCAGGAGTTCAAGACCAGTGTCCAAAACAAAACAAAACAAGCCAAGTCAAAATAAAACATTATTCTTTAGCCTGGTGGTTTTCTCTTATTAGTAGGCAAAAAAAAATTTTAGTGGTCAAATATTAAAAAAGATCAAGATAAATATTGTTTGATTAAGCTCTTATTTCAGAATATTTATATATAATATGTCAGATGGACATCTAAAAATGTTCATCTCACGGCGAGGTGGTAGTACGAACTTTTGAAAACTAGAGTAGGGCAGCGCACCCTCCAGACGCGTAACTGGGAGGAACACGGGCACCTCGCTTTCCGAGGAAACCCATCCCGGATGCCCCTCTTGAGCACCCGCCACACCAGTGACACAAACCCGCGTTCCAACCACACTCGCGTGCCTCCTGGCGACTGCACCGCCCCGCCCGCCTGGGTCTGCCGCGCGGCACCCGGCGGTACCCGGGCCGAAGTCCCCTCCCGTCTCGGGCGGGGCAGGAGGGAAGCGCGCCTCACGTCATCATCGCGCGCCGCCGCCTTCGCCTTCTTCCACTTCGCGGGAGAAGTTGTTGGCGCGAATGGATCCCGAGCTCCGGTAACGGATTCGCCAGCCGGTCGGCCCGTCCGCCGGCGCCTCAATCCTGGGGCTGCGATGGTGAGCCCCTGGCGGTGGCCGTGCGGCTCGGGGCTGTGGGAGCCTTTGCAGCCGGGTGTGGCCGGGCCGCTCCTGGTATGCAGGGTGGGGGAGGCGGCGGGTGGCCCGGAGGGAGCGCAGGCGGAGAGGGGCCGCGCACCGGCGCTGGGCGCACGGCTTTCCTGGGACCGCGGGCTCCAGCTCGGCCGCCGCCACTGCGCACGGATTTAGTTGCTACGCGGCACTTTCACTTTTTTTTTTTTTCATTCTTGGGGGAAGGGAGGAAGGAAGGAAAGGAGGCAGTAATGATGGTGATTGGGACGCATCGGCAGGTATTTTCCTTTCAGTGTTGCCCCGAACTTCAGTTTGAGTCCTGCCTAAAGCGTGGATTTTAAGCTTCCTAAGAAACTTTACTTTCTCATGAATAAGTAAGTTGTTTAGGGCCTTCAACTTTTATCATTAGCTCCGCTCATCCCATCCCATATCCGTTCATTGACGCTCATCCAAGCCATTTTGAGACCAAAGGCATGGGGAGTATGTTTTATTTGGTTTAGAAGAGTTCATAAAAGTCAAACAGATAACAGAGTTTACGAGGAAAAATAAATACAGCGAATAGAAACAGATGTAATACATTTGACAGCTGTCACCAATCACCGGATGTTAAAAGAATGTTTAAAAAATACCCAGAACTTCAGTGCATCATTCTTTACAAAGCATTCAAACAGATTGAGAGTGAAATAATTATGCATCTAGCAAAACAGACATTCTTGATGGTATGGCAGTGGATGCCAGTTCCGTGTGTCTAATTTAAAGGGCCGTTTAAGATGTTCCATTAAGCCGCAAGATACTTAACAATCAGATACAATTTTTTCAGTCATTCTTCACCTTATCATAATGACAACATCCCAGGCATTCTAGGGGATAAAAGTCGTATGCCAAGTTGGGGAACCTTGCAGTCCTTAGTGTTTTTTTCTCAAAAAAGGATAAAATGATGGTAGCTATCCTAGATCACGTGTCTTCCTCAGTTCAAGATGTGAACTGTTTATTTTAGATACTTTTCTCATTTCAACCTATTGTGATCTAGTTTTACAGATGTCAAAGGCACCTTTTAGAATTTAAACAATTTATTATACAACTAGTAGAATCTGGGATTAGAACCTGGATGTTTCTGTTTACTACATTATACAGCCTCTCTAAAATGATTATCATTACATTTTGGAGTTCAGGCACTGTGGTATTATGAAAAGTTGAGGAGATTTGGAGTCTTGAAGGTGAAGAATGGGGTGACAGTTTAATAGTTTATAGTTAATTACTGTATTAGTATGCTGTGCTTTAATAGGTGGTCTTGAGCAGGTAAATAGCTTAACTGAAATACTCGTAAAAGGAGGGAAAGTAATAGCAACTTTAAATGATTGTTTTAAAGATTAATCAAGAAAATGCATGTAAAGCTTCTGTTCTGGTGGCTGGTAGATAGTAGATATTATATATAGTACTACTATATAACTACCAATAATCTATCTTCTTAGCAAGGGCTTTTTGGAGAGTTATGTAGATTTTTTTTTTTGAGACAGAGTCTCAAGCTGTCACTCTGGATAGAGTGCCATGGCATCATAGCTTACAGCAACCTCCAGCTCTTGGGCTCAAGCAATCCTCTTGCCTCAGTTTTTCTATTTTTAGTAGAGATAGGGTCTTGCTTTTTGCTCAGGCTGGCCTTGAACTTGTGAGCTCAAGCAATCCGCCTGCCTCAGCCTCCCAGAGTGCTAGGATTATAGGTATGATCCACTGTGCCTGGCCAAGTTATGTAGATTTTAAGGAGCGTCGTAGATGACTTTGATGTTGTTATGGTCAACTTTTGGTCATTTAGGTACTGTCAAAATTTTATTCTTTTCATGGTGTAGTTGAGACCTTGTCTCTAAAAAAGTCTGTATATACCAATACACACGCAGAGTGGATGTAAAGTTCGTGTGCAGTTTAAATAGTAAACTTACATATATACTTATATAAACATATATATACTATACACGTATGTGTGTGTACTATACATGTATAGTAATCTAGGCCACCCTAGGACAAAAATTAGCAGGCCCCTACGCTAAAATTCTGTTCAGGCCCAGTGAAGTGGCTCACACCTGTAATCTTGGCACTTTAAGAGGCTTGGGCAAGAAGATTGCTTGAGGCCAGGAGTTGGAGACCAAGACCAGCCTAAGCAAGAAGGAATTTCTTTTCTGCAGAAGGAAAAAAAAATTAGCTGGGCATGGTGGCATGGCCTGTTGTCTCTCAGCTACTTGGGAGGCTGAAGCAGGAGGATTGCTTGATCCCAGGGGTTTGAGATTATAGTGAGCAATGATGACACCACTGGACTCTGAGCCCTAGCAACAGAGCAAGACAATAGGCCCATGTCTCAAAACAACGACAACAACAACAAAACCATAGATGGCGCCTGTAGCACAGTGGCTACGGCACTTGGCCACATATACCAAAGCTGGCAGGTTCGAACCTGACCTAGGTCAGCTAAAACAACAATGACAACTGCAACAAAAAAATAGCTGGGTGTTGTGGCAGACACCTGTAGTCATGGCTACTTGAGAGGCTGAGGCAAGAGAATCACTTAAGCCCAAGAGTCTGAGGTTGGTATGAGCTGTGATGCCATGGCACTCTGCTGAGGGCGACATAGTGAGACACTGTCTCAGAAACAAAACAAAACCATAAAATTATGTTCAACAAATGTTCATCGAACATTTTTACTCAAATTATAAGACTGTAGTTCTTAATTTTGAAGTCACAGTTCCTTTTGAAAAAATGTGAATGGTATGCAAATTTTCTGCCCACAGAAATGTGTACAGGCACATACACACCCTTTAGGGGGTTCACCTATTTTCTGAAGCCCATCCATAGATGAAAGTTAACAGTTCTTGCCCTGGGAGCTGCCTTTCCCCCAGATATTTTCTTTTGCTTTTTCTTTCTTTCTTTTTTTTGAGACAGAATCTCAAGCTGTTGCCCCGGGGAGAGTGCTATGGTGTCATAGCTCACAGCAACCTCCAATTCTTGGGTTCTAGCTGTCCTCTTGCCAGTTCAGTTTTTCTTTTTCTAGTAGAGACGGGAACTTAATCTGGTTTTGAACTGGTGAGCTCAAGCAATCCACCTGCCTTGGCCTCCCAGAGTGCTAGGATTACAGGTGTGAGCCACTGTGCTTGCCCCCCCCATATTTTCTAATTAATAGTTATTAACAAAGGAATAACATACTGTATCCACACAGTGGAATACTATGCAGCCATTAGAAAAATGAGAACACTTAATAGTCTGATTTTTTTTTTTTTTTTTTGAGACAGATCCTCAAGCTGTTACCCTGGGTAGAGTGCTGTGGCGTCACAGCTCACAACAACCTCAAACTCTTAGGCTTAAGTGATTCTCTTGCCTCAGCCTCCCA